CATAAAAATCTCAATGACATTCTTCAAAGAAATATAAAAAATGTTGATGAGATTCATATGGAACAACAAAAGACCTCGTATAGCCAAAACCCTCATGTCTAAGAAAAATCAAAATGGAGGCATTACAACCCCAAACTTTAAGCTGTACTACAAAGCCATAATAATCAAAACTGCATGGTACTGGAATAAGAATAGACATACAGACATTAATCAGAAAATCAATTAATGTAATCCATCACATCAACCGTAATAAGGGAGATGCAAATTAAAACCACGATGAGATACCACCTCACCCAGTGAGAATGGCACATCTTCAAACAACTAGCAACAACAAATGCTGGTGAAAATGTGGAGACAAAGGAACTCTCCTGCACTGCTGGTGGGAATGCAAACTAGTACAACCACTATGGAAAACTGTTTGGAGGTTCCTCAAACTGCTAAACATGGAGCTTCCCTACGACCCAGCAATCCCACTCCTAGGTATCTACCCAAAAGACACAAAAACACTGAAAAAGATACCTGCACCCCCATGTTTATTGCTGCTTTATTTACAATTTGAAAAACATGGAAGCAGCCCAAATGCCCAAAAATTGATGACTGGATTAAGAAGATGTGGTACATATATACAATGGAATATTACTCAGCAACCAAATTAAAAAAAAAAGAAACACATGTCTTTTGCAGCAACTGGATGGAGCTGGAAAAGATCATGCTTAGTGAGATAAGCCAGAAAGAGAAAGAAAAATACCAGATGGTTTCACTCATAGCAGGAGTATAATGGACCAGGCGAGAAAATAACAAAAATAATGAACAACCATATACCAGAGACATTTTGTGGGGGTGGAGTGGGGAGGGAAGTGCACGGGATTATGGTGATGGCACACCTGTGACTCGATGATGGGAAACCCGCGGGGATTACAATTGAGATGGAAAAAAAATGTACAAAAGATGTAAAAATAAACTGTTATTAAAAAAATTAAAAGACACATGTGAACTCACTCTTGTTTAGTATGCAGTAAGCAAATTGCATATAATTCTAGCAGGAAGTTTGCTGCAACTTCTAATTTTGTTCTTTTTCAAATTTATGTCATCACTAAGTTCTTTTTTAAATGAAGCAGTATGTATGAGTAAAGTAGATTCTAAGATCAAAACCACTTGAAAGACATTGTTCTAAGCTTTTTAAGTGATTGTAATGCTTACCCTTACAATCTTTACACACTACACAATAGGGAAAAAGTAAGTAGGTAGTTTTTCACCATACTCATCCAAACAGCCTGTCTACCTACATTTACCTCTATAAATGTAGTTTGTCTATCTTGTTTCATCCTAGCCTCCCCTTGTGAACACAACAGTCCAATAACTCAGTGCACAGCTCATTGTTATCTCATCATTCATTTCTCTCCTGGCACAAATGTCCCTTTCTCAGGGATGCTTCTTGGAACGTCCTGTTAATCTCTGCCCTATTAGCCTGTTTTCTTTTCTTCAGGACATTACTCAGTATCATCTTGTCCAGTCTGTTACTTTAGAACATCAGCCTCCTGTGGTAATCTTTAACATATCCCCAGCACTGAGAAAACATGTCTACTACTGAGTAAACAGTGGAAAAGTGAACAAGAGAATGCTTCGTTCTGAGGCAGAAGCTCTCATTTAAGCACAGTGTCATATTGGAAGCATGGAGCTCTACCCGCCAGCTGACCAGTGGCGGTTATCAGCTACCTGATCCCTGTATTTCCATCTTCAGCAGCAGAAAGTGATACAGGGCTGCTGTTCTTCATCCTGCTCCCCTCAGCCTCCTCTACTCCCATGGGAAACAGTGCCCTGTCTAGAAATTACTCACCTTAGGTTTAATGTCTGACTTCTCATTTCTTATCAAGGATCTCAGAGCTGGTCTCACGAGTTAGGGTTTCATATAGTTAGAGGTGGGGGAAGTTAGGTCTGACCTGAAGCTTTGGATGATGTTAGCATCAGAGTACTTGCAGAGTGACAGATGAGTGGGGAGCTGAGGTCAGTGAACCCCTGGTGAGTCATCACCATTGTGAAGTGGGACATTGATAACAGTTAAATCTATGGATCCAGGAATTGGAGAGATGTAGAATGAGAGAATAAGCAGAAGGGGAGTGGTGGGCAGAGTTTTGTGGCAGCATTATTTTTTTTTCTCAGTTCAGTAACTTGAGATATTATTTCCTACCATAAAATATACCACACAACTCAATGGATCTTAGTATATTTACAGTTATGCAATCACGACCAATCTAATTTTAGAATGTTTTTATCATCCCCTAAAGAAATTCTCTATCCACTATCAGTCATTCCTAATTCACCTGTCAATGAAGTGATAAGCAGCCACTTGCTGTCTCCATAGATTAGCATATTCTAGACATTTCATATAAGTGGGGTTGTGTAATAAGTGGTCTTTTGTGATAGACTTTTCTCTAACTTAGCATGATGTTTTCAAAGACCACGCCTGTTATAACATGTATCTATGCCTTATTCCTTTTTATGGCTAAATAATATTCTATTATATGAACTCTTATACATACATACATACATATACACACATATATGCATGCGTATATAGAGCATTTTGTTTTTCTGTTCATTAGCTGATAAACGTGTGTTTCCACCTTTTAGCTATTTCTGAATGCTGCTACAATAAATATTTGAATACAAGCTTTGGTGTGGACATGTTTTCATTTCTCTTATATTAGGAATACAAATGTTAGGTTAGATGGTCACTCTATGTTCAGCACTTTCAGGAGCTACCAAACTATTTTCCACAATGCCCACACATATTGCATTCAGTTTTGAGGCTATTTCTTGCAGATGTTTTTATGAGTTTGTTCTGAACACTTGACCCCTTGAGTACCATGAGAAAGAGTGTGTTGTGCTTCTGTCTGGATCCTACCATTAAATATTGCTGCACAAAACTTGGACCCTAGGAAACCCAATCTGTGGTGATTCTGTCCAAACATAACCCAAAGGTGTATTGGGACTTCTCAGTCCCAGCAAACCTCCTGATCCCCCATCTGTTGTTATCTTAGTCATCCTTTGGAGTACCTGTCAAATACTGCCTTCTTCACAAAGTTCCCCTCACATTCAGCTCAGTAGTTTCAATTCTGCTGCACATTGGAATCTAATGAGGAACTTTCAAATGTACCAAATCCAGGGTCCATGCCAAAGGTTCTGATTTAATTGGCTTGAGCATTAGTAGTACTATTTGAAAACTCCTCACATGATTTGAATGTGTAGCCAGAGTTGAGAACCATTATTCTGGCTAGAAGCAGCCTTTCTCCCCTGAAATTTATAGCAGGTTCTTTCTCTTTCTCTCTTGTTAAGCAGGTTCTCTTTAATGACACTCAACAAGCCTTTAAAAACATGTACATTTAATTGAAGTTATTTAACATATGTATTTTGTCTCCAGCTGGGCACAACTTGTGTTTGATTCATCCTCAAGTTTCCAATAGGGTTTACCCCGAAAGTTTGTTTAAACTATCATCTGTGCTCTGAAAAAAAGAATGAAGAAGACTAAGAACTAGGGCTTGTGACCTTAGACAAGTTATATAACTTATAACTGGGCTACAACCGTCTTCATCTTGCATTATTGGGGAACAATGCTTGAGAGCCTGCCAAAGTAATCACCAGGTCCTCCCTGGTCACCCCCCTAATTGTGCATCACCTGCTCCCTTTACCTCTTTCTCATCTCCGATTTGCTTTTTCTCCTTTGCGATTAGCAGATACTCTCTTTTTCATTTCTTTTTATTGTCAGTGTCTACCTTCTACCTCTCCACTCCATGTCAACTTGTGAGCAAAGAGATTTTTGGTCGGTTTGGTTCACTGCTGTATCCTCAGCACTCAGATTAGTTCTGAGCACATAGTATATTTGTTCAAAGAATAAACAACTGTATTAATTTTTTAAAGATGTTTAATGCCTTTCTTCTACATCAGCAAATGGGTTACTTTTTGGATAAATATTTGTAGTCATTTATGATCAAGCCTTCCTTTTTCAGTAAAAATTGTATTTCTAACATAAGCACATACATTCTGAATTACTATAGTTTGGAAATACAGTCCAGTGACTGAGAGGGTTGGCAGTTGTTTTGTTTAAGCATAGGGGGACTGGGGTAGGGGTCATGGGTATATTTGGGACTGTTTGTGCAGGTTGGAGAAGAGGCTAGAGTTTGGGATGGAAAACCTGAATGACTGGGTGCCTCTGCACCATTTGAATGCACTCCTAGGTATTCCAGAGGATAATGATGGTGATGATGGAAGAGGCCAAGAAGAGCAAGTAGAGGCGGAAGAGGAAAGTGTCCATCATATGGCCAAATTGCACCCACAGCTCAGTTAGCTGGACCCTTGTCAATCCTGAACCCACATTCAGTTTTGCCTCTCTGGGTCCCAACTCCTCTGGCTCCTTCAGGCCTGTGAGGATGACAGACACTCAGCCAAAAAGTGCGAAGAAGATAGAATTAGAGAAGGGGTTGAGGGAGTTAGGACCACTTGAGTGTGAACATAGCTTACTTCCTTTACGTGGCAGGTGAGTAGAAATGAGACCTGTACCCATATTCTCCTTCCAGGTCCCAGTGGGGCAGCACTTGAATGGGCGGGCACAGTAGAGGAGCAGAGAGTGGAGCCAGCGAGGCATGGGTGGGGGCTGTGTGGTGGCCAGGTGCAGCAGGTAGGTGATGAAGATGGTCTCCAGCAGGCTGACCACCATCAGGGACAGACACAGGGCAAAGTAGACACCTGGAGTGAGGTTAAGGATCATGCCTGAGAGAGAGTTCCAGAAGGACCCCTGGGTCCCCTTGTCTCTGCCTCTCCGAGAGAGCCCTTTCTAAGAGCCTTCTCCTTTCTTCTGCCTTACAGATCTTGCCAGTTTGTCTGTTTATCCCACCTCTTCTCCTTTTTCTTTTCTTTTTTTTCATTTTCCAACAGTGGTGGTGGGGGTGCTTACTGATGAGCGGGGAGCCACTAGCAGGGAGTAGTTTATTCATCATGAGCAGGAAGACATTGTAGCCCAGCAGAAGGGTTATCTTGAATGGGGCCCGGTTCTCATTTTCTGCCGGCAGGTAGAAGCTGAGGGCATCAATGGCAATCAGAAAGCCGCTGGGCACCAGGAGGTTTAGGACGTAGAGGCTGGGCCTGCGCCTGATGGCCACCTGGTGGTAAAGCAGGGACTGAAGGGAGACTGAGGAATGACTCCAGCCTCTTCCTTTCTCAGTGTCCTCATCCCACAGGAGTCTTTCTGGGGCTGGGTGAGGGGCAGCATTTGCATGGCTAACAAGACTCCTCCCAATCCCCAAAGAAAATCTTGGGCCTGGTAGACTCAGGAAGGGGGCTGCCTTGGGGGACTCAGAGCAGAGGAGGCTGTCAGGGTTCTGGTGCCCCCAGAGCTTTCTGGTTTGGGAGCAAGAAGTAAGAAGCTCCGAGACTAGAGTCTGGTGAGGGAGATGAGGATGGACACCATGCAGAATCTCTGGACTCACATAGAACATGATCTGGTCGAACAGACTGGTGCCCACAGACATCTTCGGGGTGGCCTTGTTGATGCCTAGGAGCTCCCACTCCCCTTGTGTGTTGACAATTCTGCGCGAGGTATCTGTTATCTCCCATACTTCCTTGTCCATGCCCAGCAACAGGTTTTCCACTGCAGGGGAGACAGTCATTTATTCAACATACATCTGTTCAGTACCTGCACTGTGCAAAGTGATGAATATTGCTTTTGCTGCCTTTTCCAGACGGTCCTATAATCTGACTTCTTGATGCTCAACTGCCTTCTTTGGATTCTGAGCTTTATAAAGAAGTTTGTTCCCTCTTAAGTTCAATCGCCTTCCACCCCACTGCCCAAAAACTCCTGATTAGCAAATTAAAAAAAAAAAATGAGTGGCTCTGGGTGCCTTCTTGCTGCCCAACTAATTGACCTAATTTACCTCATTCCACCACCCCCAGCACAGCTCACCTGTGTAGAGGAATGAACTAAAGGTGAGGGTGCAGTTCTGTTCATCAAAGGGGAAGTAGAATATGTCCAGGTTACAGATGCTGGTTACCCGCGCTGGTTTGTAATATACAATATGACCATTGTGATTCACATATGCCGAGAGGCCTTCTGGGGTCTGATCCACATCCGTGCTAAGTGGTAGATTGGGAAGGAAGTAAATGCTCTGGTTTTCCATTTAGGTTTTTCTATTAGAGAAGGGCTTCCCACTGTTACTCCTCATAGCCATTCTGCCACTTTCCCCCTCTTCCACTGGGAAGGGTGAGCTATGACTGTGCTACTCTTAGAAACAAGTTTTTGGCGGGTCACTGAAAGGGTTAGCGCGCATTATACCTGCTCCTTGCAGGAGAGACTTCCCTCCTGCTTCCCCAGCCCTGATACCCACGATTCCACAATGAAGATGTCTGGGAGCCACAGGTTCTCAGTTGTCACAGTGAGCTTAGTGAGATCACCACACTCTTCTGGGTCCCAGCTGATAAACGGGTTATTCCAAGTCTAGAGCACAGGGCACAGAGGGGTGGTTGTTGCTGAAATCTGGAACTAAGTATGTCAACAGCTGCTAACCTTCTATTCCCTTATAATAATGTACATACACATGCATTTTTCCTAAATGTATGTGCTATCAGAATATTATAAAACTTAAGCCCTTCCAGGAAAGTATAATATCAAAAGCAATCTTCTCTTCCATTCACTCCAACTCAGTTCATATCCCAATTTTCTTGTATATCATTCCAGAAAAATGTTAATTCTTATTCTACCTCTTTATACGGGTAGAATCGAACTATGTATATTGCTATGAATGTTGCTAGTTGCACCTCATTATCTTTCTTTTAAAAAGATTTATTTATTTATGCATACAGAACTGGGATACAGGCTAGAGATGCAGGGGCAGTGAGAGGATTCACTAGAGACGAGTGGGGAACAGAGCAAGCAGATCTATGAGGTACACTGCTGAGGGGAGCAGCAGGTGAGACAGGAGAGGTCTGCTGTGCCATGTGGGCCACATCCTTGGCCAGGGATCAAACTGTGCTTAAGCAGCTACGACCAGCTTTATAACACTGTGCCTTCACCCTTTGAGTCACCTGGGAGGGCCCACCTCATTATCTTTCAACTCTGATTCCTCTTCTCATACTGGTAATAATAACTGCCTTTCTCTAGCTAACAAATTCTTCTTGACTTCACTTTGCATTCAAGGGAAATCTTAAGTTAGGTCCTGGATACACTTATGCCTGAAATGTAAGGGCTTCTGACTAACCTGATCTCCTTCTATGTACTTTCCATTTATATCTTTTAAACCTATTAGCACCCCAGAAAGCTATTTGTCACCAGCATTAGCCCCATTTTGGGTGGCTCTATTTCCTTGGGTACTGTCAATTTCAAGAAATGTGATTTTTCTCCAAAAAAAAAAAAATCAAGAATAAATGGGAAGGAGAAAGAAAGAAGCAAGTTGAACTCACATACCATCTTAAGCCACAGAAATGATGTCAGTAGCTGAAGCTGTGCATCCTGCCAAAAAACAAAAACAAAATAAAACCCCCAAAGCACAAGCCCCTCCAAGATCATTCGTGTTATAAAACCAGGTATTAATCTATCTCCTGCTTTTGCTTCCCAAGTGGTCAAATATGACAGTTTGATTTTTCATGTACAAGTCCCAAAAGGTAGGTAGTTAGGAAAATGCAGGTTGCCTGAAAAACAGCATGGGAAGCCATTGGGAATATATATATTTTTTTGTAGAACATTCCTATAAAGATAGATCAAAGACCAATATTCTCTGTAACAGTATCACTCCAACATTTCCCCTTATATTTCTTTATCCCATAGGATGAACATCTAACTTGTATCAAATCCATTCACACTTACACTGGACCCAAGCAATGCTGAGTTGACAAGACAGAGTCCTTGTTCCTTATTAGAAGCTTATGGAAAGAATGTAGGAATCAGAACTCACCACATCCAGGATGGCATACAGGGTGAAGGAGATGTTGACATGAGTAGGGATGCTGTAGTTGATGACTGGACGGAAGTCCTTCTGGCTAAAGATAGTTTGAAAGACATCAGGGTCCACCCCATGCAGGTCAAAACCTGAGCAATTGATGGTGAAGGAGTTTGCCCTTCCTGTAGAGTAGAGACTTTGTGAGATGGGAATAGGGCTTTGTGTTTCCTAACTGCCAGAACTGGGGCCTGAGAGCCTCTCTGCAGAAAAAAAAATGTGGGCTCCTCCTTCCTGGGACAACACTCTAGGTTTAAGCCCTTTTTCCAGGTCTGGGAGGATGGGCTGGGCTGGTAGGCAAATGGTGTATGTTCGTGTGGTGAGTGGACTCAGGGGTCAGACCTTTCTTCCTGTGCTTTGACCCCCATATAAATCCTACCCAAATTTCTATGCAAACAGTCACCCCAGAAAATCCTGTTCCTCCATCCTACTGCCCCTAAGGTTTAGACCTTTATCTGATCAGGTTGATTTTTTTTTCCTCTATAGTTCTGTTTTGGTTCTTCTCATCATCACTGAAAAAAATTTTCCTAAAATTCTTTTACTTCAATTTTCCCTCCCCACTTTCATGCTTTCCTGAAAAGAAAAGTTTGGGGGGGGGGGAGAAGTAAGCATGAGGGTGATATGAAATATAAGGGGATTTAAAGAATGTTATTTGATGTGACTTTATTGACTACCGACTATGTGCTGTACCCTTCTCAAATTCTTTGGCTTCCTCTGTGTTCTGTGGGAGCCATTTTCATCATTACTGATTTGAAGACTCATTGTGGTCCATCAAGTGCTTGGGGGAGCTATGCATGGAATGTAAACGCTCTTTTTTAGACCTCACCCCCTCTCCATTTTCATTGTGGCTATTCCTATAATCTAACTAGTTCTTCCCATGGCCCATACCCACTAACCCGTGAGGTACATGGGTACATGAACTAGAGAGAAACATATCCCGGGGGAGCAAACATTGTCCATTTCACTCTATATCAACTGCCCAACAAGATCATCCCAAGAGGGATGGGAAAGGAATTATGTTATTTTCAGCGGGATCCAAGTAACTCTGTTTATTGTTACTATATCTTGGTAGAAAAGAAAAAGTTGGACATTATAAATATTTGCAATTGGAAATATTGCAAATGGAAGGATGACAATTTTGAAGATATCTATGCAGGCAAATAAGAAAGGGG